CAATAACTTTTAGAGTCAACCTTTGTCTGTTAGCAACATGTCTCATGCAATATTTACAGAAACTCAAAGTAATAATTGGATATTTGTCTAAAACTGATTATCTTTTAGAGTCAGTCCAATTCCAGATTGCCCCTCCAGCTCTCCACCTTAGAAAACACTACCTCAATACATTTTACAGATATTGAGCTGAAATTTATAATAATGTGTTATGTGTTGTCATCATTGTATGTTTCCATACAATGGCGAAATTGGCTGTCTGCATTTAACCCATCCACCACCAGGTGAAGCAGTGGGCAGCTATTGAAAGTGCCCGGGGAATAATTGGGGATATGGTGTGCTGCTCAGAGACACCACGAGATGTGCAATGACTGGGAATCGAACCTGGGACTTACAGGTCCCGAGTCAGCTGCCCTGCGTCTACCCCATAATTTGATGTGCTTTCTAAGCACAACATCCCTCAGTATCAAGAGGTTTTGCATAATATTAGCTTAGTGGTCAGTGCCACAGTCTTGTAATCCTGAGGTTGCAGGTTTGAGCCCAGGTTGCATCAGGAAGGGCATCCGGCATAAAACAATTGCCAAATCTTTCATGGGAGCTCGCTCTCTGGGGCGACCCCCTGAAGAAGGGAGCAGCCGAAAGAAACTCACTTTTATTGTTTTTAAGATTTAATGAGAATGTCTACAACTCAACATAAAGTGATGTTGGACTAAAATTTTGTGGGATGAAAGGTGGCGGATGTAAGCATTCTTTCAAGGTTAATTTTAAACGTTGTGTGTGTGTATATATACACACACACACACACAGAGTATATATTCATATTTTGGTCAGCGCCTCATCAGTTCAGACATTTTTGAAGACAAATGGTCATCCTTTCATGTTTGTGTTGTGGTTCAGGAAAGGATAAAGGAGAGCAGTGGATGACCTCAGCTGTTCCAGATGGAGCTCTTGGTCAGGAGGAGGGAGTCATAACTGGCTGGGGGGTTATTTAGAAACGAGCTGCCTGCCCCCCACGCAATGAGGAGCATGCAGTCGGTTCATGCCGAGAGAATGTACTAGTTGAGCCTTCAAGCTGTTTATATCCAACGCTCGCCTTTAACAACTGGCTCAACTAGAGAAGGAAACGTGGTCATCATCTCTTTTATCAACTCGCTTCATGTTGCACAGACATCCTCGTTTATGTTTTTCATTAGGGATGTTGATTTTAAAATAAAAAAAAATGCAAAAGGCTCTTTGTCTTATGCTTCCTCAGGAAGTGAGGGGATCAGATTTTTAGCAGATAAAACCAACTCTTGAGCGTCTTCAGTACAAAAAAATAAAGTGAGAATCTCATTCTGGCAACAAAAAAGGTTACAATGAAGAATTTTTATAAATTGAGTTATTCTCATGTTCTAATTCTCCATCTCAAAAGCTTCAGAACGAGACAGTTTTTTTTTTAATTTTTTTATTTGGAGATTTGTCACCTGGCCTGGAAATAAGCCAGAGTGGTTACATCAAGAATTTCAGCCCTGCATTTAAAAGGGAGAATCCCCAAGCTTTACAGGAAGCACAAAACTTTAACAAAACATTAGATTAGTTATTATATATGCTATTTTAGTTACAGGAAATGTTAGTTGATGTATTTTTAGATGCATATTTATGTAAATCTTAATTACAGCAAAAATTGTTAGTTTTTTTGTTGTTGTTGTTTTTGCACTGCAGCATGTGCTCACTCTGACTCATTGGCATGCACAGGTCTCATTTTGTTGTCTGCAAAAAGCCTAAGAGGAGTAGCTCTGTAATTTATATTTGGAACTAATTCAGTTTTTTGTATTTATTTGAGGATATTCTAGTGAAATGCATTATAAAAATAAAAAATATAAAAACACTTGTTGTCAGGAGCAGCTTGCTGCAGACGTTCTTCTTACTGCATTGCAGTCTTAAATCTGTGCACCAAGTATTTTTGTTTTTTCATTTTGTTTTTTACTGCACCAAAGCTTTTCATTTTGTTTGAACTTGTACTCCAACTCTTGTGTAACTTTTACTGCCGCTCGCTGAACACTGCTGCAGCCATGCTGAGGCAGGGGGAGCAGAGATACGAGAGGACTCTGCAGCAAATGTCTGCCTCTGAGTTCTGCTTGAATGAGGTCAGGCCGATCAAACCTTTGGCATCCCTGTGCCAGTAGTTATTTAGACATTTTAATTATTTATTTTATGTTTTTTATGATAGTGGTGGGAATATTTAGTCACCTCACAATTTGATTAAACTCTGACGACTGCATTGCGATTCAAAAACAATTATAGATGCATCTCAGTTATCTGGGATTATCAAGTTGGTGAATAAACACTAAGAGGCAGCTGGTAACTATGTTTATCCACACCACCATTCACCATCACCTTTGAAATACAGAGACGAATACATGAATTTAAATTGCTATAAATGGCTTTTTAAATATAAATAAACACTGATTTATGTATTTTCATTCTTGATAAGTAGTTACTTGCATATATTAATGGGGAAAACAAAAAGCAGCATAATTCAACTACGGCAACTCCACAAGGACAAATTGCACCGTGCAGCAACTACAGTAGTCCCTCATTTAACATAGGGAATGCGTACCCTGAAGCCCCGTGATAAGTGAAAAATCGCGAATAGTACAAGTGGTAAGTGGTAGTTTATTTTAGTGTATATATATATATATATATATATATATATATATATATATATAAAATAAAGGCGTTTTAAACCCTTCCCACACTCTTGCAATATTCTAAACAATGTTTCTAAACGCTATAAAAGAGCACAGCATGTCGTGATTTCAGCTCTCTTAGTAAAAGTATCTATTAAATTGTATTTTCTACTTGTACTTTATGATGTGTGAAATTTTAAGATGTGATTATTTGATAAATGTGTTATTATGTAAATAGTAGCAGATATCTTGTTATCAGAGCTCAGGGCTTGTTAATCTCGTTAATCCTGTCTCTCTCTCTGAATGATTCTTGTCTTATCACACTGAATATGTGCAGATGTTGCTGCTTATTGACATATTTTGTGCTGTTTGTTTCATTTTGATGCCAGTTTACATGGAAACCCTGGGTGTGTGCACCGTTTGTTGTGAGGGGACTTCACAGTTTATTAGGAACTTATTTATTTAATTAATTACTTACACAAGTTTCTCAGTATTTTTTTTCCTTGTAAGGGCATTTACATTTGTGGTGTATCCAACAAGTAAATTTTTAAAGACTGTATAACATTTTATCTGGTATAAATAATTTGGTTTATAGAATAGTAACTGGTTAGTCAGGTTTATGAAGAGCATTTCTCAGGATAGTCTGTTTTGTTACTATAAGGTTATACAGTGCAGAGTATATTTTGTTTTAAAAGTACAGAATGATGCAGTCAAGACAAACTCGTGTGTAAAGAAATAAAACCAGTTTTCAAGTATTTTTTTTTTAAGTTCAGCTTAAAGGCCAGCTGTCTGTGTGCTACATATAATCATACTAATGTTGTTTTTTTTTTTTTTTTACTCCTATTTAGTAAAACGCTCTTCAAATGGCAAAAAAAAAAAAAAAAAAAGCATAGTTTTGAGTAGGTAAATTTATTTTATTTAACCCAGGATCCCACTAGGACTGTTGTGAATCAAGCAGTGATTTTAAGGAAAAAAATCCTGTTTCTTTGGTAAAAAAATATCAGCCATAATCAATTTTTGGCAGCCAAAATCAAATTTTTTGATCATTAAAGCATATTTATTACAGTTCAAATGACTGTGTGGGGTTGAATCTTATAAATATAGTTCCTGTGAATGAGACAATGTGATTTGAAATCAGAAATCCTTTTTTGTGTTTAAAAAATATGATCCATAATCAAAATTTGTCAGCCAAAATCACCTTTTTTTTTTATAATAAAAGAACATTTGTTACAGTTCAAATGACTGTGTGGGGTTGAATCTTATAAATGTTGTCCCTGTGCATGAAACAAAGTGATGTTAAGACAAAAATCCTGTTTCATTGGTAAATAAGTCATAATCAAAATGTTGCTATACACATGGCAGTTTCAAAGTAATTTGTGCTGTGCAAACATTTTCCTTTGTCATATTCAAAATTATAGCAAAGTTATAGAATGACAAACGAAAAAAGTTTTCAGTGATAAGCTTCTTATCACTTTAGTCACATTTGTTGATGTTTTCTATTTATGGCCTTTTTGGTTACTAAAAGTAATTGGACAATAAAAAGAACATGACTGGGAATGGTTCAGGTAAACTAGACAAACATAATCCACAGACTTCATGCAAAAACCCAATTTATTTTCAGATTTGAGCCTACATGGAGTTACAGTTGTCACATTTCCATTATGTCACGGTATATAAGCAAGCTTAATGCATACTAATCACCAGAACCTTGGTTGTATTGTTCTAATCCAGTGTAGAATTAACATTAGAAGATATTATGAGCAACTGCAAACACTTCAAGACTGACGCTCACGGAAAGAACATCGAGAGTTTTTGAAATAAATTTAAAAAAATTAAAATAGATGGCGCCTCCCAACATATAGAGGTGAATAAGATGTGTGAAATAAAAGCTGATGTAATGTCGCATGTCGGCTGCTGTGGATATAACTGTCCAAGTCAAACAACAGGGGTATTGCTCACATCGCTCTCTAGTCTTTTTATAGCGTCGGTGCTGACAGTAAGCTTTCTGAACGGTCTGATTTGATTTATCTAAAGTGCACACTGATTTCTTATTGCAGCAATCGGAGCTGCCCTCATTTTCCCCACTGGAGAGCACTGGAGCGCTCCTCCCTTTTCATTAAAGCCATTCTTTTACATTATAATTGTTCTTTTTCTCTTTTTAATTGGTTTTTACTCTTCTGCTGTCATCGTTCTCCTCCTCTCTTGTTTAGCTCTTCCTTCTCCTTTTGTTTTAGGGTTTCTGAGGAAGTCATTTTGGCGGTGTTAGATAGGAGTTGAGTAATCGTGGCTCATGACACTAATCTGTTTCTGTATCTCCTCTCTTGTCTCCGGCAGGTGAAACACTGTGCAGACAGGCTGCCTCACACTAAGCTATGGAATGCTTTCTGCTCCCACCATCACTAGTCTCCAATCTTTGGACTGAGCTCCAAACACTTAGTTAGCAGCTGTGTTTCTCCCCTTGAACTCTTTCTAACCAGGGGACGAAGAAAAGGAGCAGGCTGAACAAGTCCTCCACTGAAGACACAGAGCATCTCTACTTTTTTTCTGATCTGTAGTAATTTTTTTTCTTCCGCTGCTTGGAGTCGTAAAGTCATATCAAGATGGATTTGGAATCGTATCTGTGGATGGTGGTCCTCGGCTTCATCATTGCCTTTATTTTGGCTTTCTCCGTCGGCGCCAATGACGTGGCTAATTCGTTTGGCACGGCAGTGGGGTCCGGTGTGGTCACGCTCAAGCAGGCCTGCATCCTGGCATCCATCTTTGAGACGCTGGGCTCGATCCTGCTCGGGGCCAAAGTGGGAGAAACTATTCGGAAAGGCATCATAGACGTCAGCCTCTATAACGATACGGTGCCCATACTCATGGCAGGGGAGGTCAGCGCCATGGTTGGTAAGTCAGACTATCTTTTATCTTCACCCGCTGCCAAGAGGCGATAGTTTGTTTTTGCCCCGTGTGTGCGTGCGTGTTTGTTTCAGGTTACATTATTGAGACCAATTTTACAGAAAAATCCTACATTGTGGGGACCAACTGCTCCTTGTGGGGACCATAGCCAGGTCCTGGAGGGGGAGTTACTAGTAGTTGCCTAGTACTAGTTTACCATTACTAGTACTAGGCATGTACTAGTAATGGTTAGGTTTAGGGAAAGGATGAAGTTTAGGCTATTAAAAAATGAATAGAAGTCGATGCAAAGTCCTCAAAAAGTGTGTTTACAAGAAAGTGTGTGTGTTATCAAAATATCTCTTGAACCATTAGATGAAATTGAATCAAAGTAATCACTGACTTTACATCAACAATTGATCAATCTTTAAAATTAACCTGATTCAAGATGGCTGCCACATTCAACTTACCTTAAAAATACAGACATGCCCAGGGCTTAATTTGAGCTGGATCCTGCTGGAGCAGGATCTGGGAACATTCCAGTAACTGTTTGCTTGGATCCGGTAACTCATGCTTACTAATAATAAAGTTATGAACAAATATGACTGACATGAATAAATAAAACTTGTATTGAATATGTAAACTGAAAATAATTACATAAACACTAATTTTAAACACAACAGCCACTTACGAGCATACGAGCTGCCCCTTCGAGTAGCATTTCCGCTTCTGCCCGTAAAAAAATCTCCGCCCCTAAAAGTCTACAGTCATTGTGCAGTTTTACTAAAAAGAGAGAGTTATCCCTACACATACTTTGAGTGCTTATAGGTTGCTAATTTTTTTTGTTTAAAATGTTGCCGTTGTGTATTTGCAGTCAGCTCTAGCTGTCTGTTGGTAAAATATATCATGAAACAATGAACCAATTTGAAATAAACTTTAAGGAAATAATAATTTGATGCACCACGCTTTTAAAGCAAGTCCCACTTGGGATGACTGCCAAATCTGATTAAAGCACAAAAATGACCAAAATGGCTACATCGTTTCAGAGCTAACTAGCAAACATGGGATGTGGTAGTAGCTGAGAGTCATTCCCAACACATACTCTGAGCATGGTATATCAAAATATTGCATGAATAAATTGTGCATAACTTTATTTTCAAGGTTGGACCAAAATGGTTGCATCTCATTTCCAAACATGCAATGAAGATTGTTAGACCTTTTTTTTTTTCCATTCACTGATTGATATTATTACCAGTACTTTTTTTTTTTTCAAAAACATATATTTGTTTATCATATCAGATGTGCAGACCCTTAACCATTTATAAAGTAGCATTTCCTTCAGGGTAATAAGCTTTTTGGGAGAACAGATTAGATTATTAAAGTTAATTTTAAGCAGTTGAGGTGCACAATGTTGAGCTTTTCATTCAAAAAGCACAATAATCAGGTGCAGGTCCAAATCCCAGGGGTCACATGAGGTGTGACGTCATCACCGTGTGATCTTGACGACATTCAGTCAAAGATTGCATGAAAAGTATTTTTCAAAAGTTTTTAAGGTGAAAATTTGCAAAGAGATATTGTAAAAGGTCAAAATAACATCATGTAAAATTGTGGAAATGTTTTAATCTATTTTCTAATACATTTACAATATTTTTTAAGTTTGCATCCTAGTAAATTTTTCTGTCTTAAAACACTAATTGTATTTAAGATTAAAAACAGTTTATTGAGACAAAGTTGTTTGTAATAAATGTTGTACTCGCACGACAAACGTGTGGGAGCTGTTCAAATGGACGAGCAGCAGAAATAAAAGTTTTCTAAAGATGACAAACTGTAAAAATAAAAATAAAAACTTTTGAAAATCATGGAGAATAAAATCAGGGCGGTGTGATGCAAAGGGGTTTCCTATGTTCCACAAAAAATAATAAATAAATGAATCAGACCTGGCAGGCTGCCAGTAGACGATGTTTGGAAAAGTTTGAATAGTTCTTGTCAGGAAATGTCTGCTGCTGTATTTTTACTTTTTTTTAAATTGACCCAACAAAAGGAGGAAAATGCGTCCGTGTCCAGCAGGGTTTGATGTTCGACTCAAGGTCACGTTTAAAGCACGACGACGCTTTAATTCAGGCTGTAAAAAGCCGTTATTCAAACAATGGATTGTGTTGCCCTTTGTATTTGTTTTACAGGTGAAAGTTCTGGAATCGTTCTTTCATTAAACCATTTCAGGTCTTTCGTTTTTATTGTGTGAATGTTTATGAAGCATTCACACTACTGTGATCCGTTTTTCTTCCGTTTGTTTTTCGGCGCGTTTCTCGTCCCGCAGTTTTCGAGCCATTTCAACAAGTCGTAAATCAAAACGTTCAGCTCGTTCAGGACAATCCTGCTGTGGCTTTTGGTATTGATGCAACTTTGGCTTTTTGAAATATTTAGCCTTTTCTGCCATGTTTTCCTCATAATAAATGAATTGAGCTCATTTTATATCCTTCATATCTTTAGATCTGTTACAATCTTTCACTGCTCTTTTCACATTTTGTTCTGCTTCAGCTTCTTTCAGCTTCCTTGTGCAAATTCTAACTTTTTCCAGCTACTTAAATCTAATTTCAGCTCTTTTGTGCTCCTTTCTGCTTCGTTCTGCGAACTACAACATTTTTTGCTTCTTCTAACGTCTTTTTGCTAATTTCAGCTTGTGATGCTCCTTTCAGCTTATTTCTGCAAGTTTCAGCTTTGTCTACTATTTCAGCTACTATTTAGTTGTTTTATGCTAATTTAAACTTTTTTCAGCCAAATTCAGCAAAAATGTGCACTCCACTTCTAGTAATTTAAGCTTCTTTCTGCGTTTTAAGCTACTTTTCAGATTTTTAAAAAAAATTTGACCTTTTTTCAGATAATTTCTACTTTTTTGTGCTCATTTCAGCTTCTTTCAGCAAATGTTTTATTTCTGCTTTCTGTCAGTTTAAACTTGTTCTACCTTTTCAACCACTTTTTAGCATTATCAAGCAAATTTCAGCTGTTTTCAGATAAATGTACGTTTGTCATGCTAATTTCTGATACTTTCAGCTGCTAATTTTCGCTTGTTGCTCCTTTGAACTTTTTTCTGCTAGTTACAGTTTTTTCTGTTATTTCGGCTACTTTTTAGCTTTTTATGTGCTAAATTTAGCTTTTTCAGCTAATTCCACATTTTAGCTCATTTCAGCTCTTTCTGCTTCCTTTTGGTAATTTAAGCTTCTTTCTGCCTTTTCAGCTACTTTTCAGCTATATTTGCTAATTTCTGCTTTTTTTTTTTTTTTTTAGCTAATTTGCTCATTTTTGTGCTCATTTCTGCTCATTTAAACCTTATTCAACAAATATGTGTTTTTTCTGCTTTCTCCTAAATTAGGTTCTTCCACTTCATCTACATTTCAGTGCATTTTAGCTAATTTCAGCTGTTTTTCAGCAAGTTCTTCAGCAATAAGCATTCACACTGCATTTTTGCAGGAAATGCAATTTCTCTGGTTTGTTTTATGTTGATAATTCTACCGTAATTATCTGTGAGGAGACTGTTTATACTGGAGCTCTAGGGTCATAACAGGTTTTAGTCATCTTCTAGAAATAACTTTAACCTTACTCCATTAGTTTTTTTTTTTTTAATTAAACCCATGTCCTGCTTTTACTAATGAAGTCATATGATTTCACATCCTGGTGAAAACATTTCTTATAAAAGCTATGAAGCAGGAAGCCGTCCCTACCTTTTCATTTTGGAGCTCATAAAGCCCAGCGGTGTTCCTTCCATGTTGCTGTTTAATTTTGGTGCCAACCTGTATTTAAATGTGAAACAAGGAGCATTTTTATGAGAAAACTGTCTAATTTTGTATCACAGGATCAGCAGTCTGGCAGCTGATCGCCTCCTTCCTCAAACTGCCCATCTCTGGGACTCACTGCATTGTTGGAGCCACCATCGGTTTCTCCATGGTCGCCATCGGCACCAAGGGCGTGCAGTGGATGCAGCTTGTCAAAATAGGTAACAGGACTCGTTTGTCTACCGTGTTTGTTTCTTTTTACACATTTTTCCATATCAGAGAGTTTTAGAGTAGAAAAAACTTTTAATGGTAATAATCAAGTTTGGATGTAAATCTGGGAAAATGTCCCAAAACTAGTTTAACTCTCATTAACCCTCCTGCTGCCCACAAGGTTTAAATCTAAGACCTTTATAGGTCATTTTGACACAAAGGCAGCAGGAGGTTTTAAAACGGGGCTATTCAACTGGTGACTCGTGGGCCAAACCAGGCCCACGGATGAACTCAGTTCAGCCCACCAATGAGTTCATTTTAGATAAAACTAGTTTTTAAACCATAAAACAAATTTAACAACAATAACTGCTGGATGTCTGGCCCCTGAGCTTTTGGCTTTCAGTGACTGTGGCCCCCTGATTTAGTTTAGTTGAATAGCCCTTTTTTTTTTTAAGAGCTTCTATTTTCACGACCGAACAGAAAGATGCACGTTAGAGTCCCACTTCATCCTTTATATCTAAATAAACTAACATTTGTCATTATGTTTACTTTTAACTAACCAAATGCTCTTTTCTAAAGTCTTATAGAAGGTGTGTCAAATGTTTTTTTGTTTTTCTCCAGTGGCTTCATGGTTCATCTCTCCTTTGCTGTCTGGCCTCATGTCTGGACTCCTCTTCATGCTCATCAGACACTTCATCCTGAACAAGGTGGGCTTTTGAAACAAGAAAGCATTTCATCATAAGAACACATTTAGCGCTGCCCTCTTTGAACTTTTAGTTTATTTGTGTACTGCTATTTTCAGGCTTGTCGAACCATTTTCATCCATGAAATGTCATTTTGCTAAAAGCTGGGTGTGATTTTTAGCTCTTTGCATCAAACCTTTGCTCAGCACGTGCAGTCGGAGTTGTCAGTCTGAGTTAAATACTCGAAGGTAAACACGAGCTTACATTTGTACAGAAGGTGTCTGAAGATCTCGAGGACAGATGGAACAGATCTGTTGTTATGCAACAGGCAGACCAGGAGGAGGAAAGTGCTTCGGATCATTTTAAGGTCGCCGCTTCAGAACGAGGCTTGAATGAATCACGAGTCACGTTGGCTGCATGGATGGGTCAGATTTCTGGCTCCGCAGCTTGTTTTTATCAGTCAAAACATTTGTCTTTGTTGGGTTGACATTTGATCAGGATTATGTTTACAGTTCTGATTCAATGTTTGAAGTGGATGGCACTTAGCTGAACTCCTGCAGGTGTAGAGTTGTCGCCCTTGTTCTAACTTTAAGTTGCCTTGATCGGTTTTATCAGACGGTTATTAACGAGGGATTGGAGACTACATCAAAGTTCATGCTCAATAATCCAGGTTAAAGAAATCCAGCAAAGTTCAGTCAGGTCATCTGGATGGTTTCTTTTTTGTTGTTGATGAGACGTTTGTTCTTCATCCAAAGGACTTCATCAGTTCTTTGATGTTTCCCAGAGACCATCTTATCACCAGCAAACTGGTTGGTCCACTATGTGGATTTGCTGCTTGTGGGACTCAGTTTGTTGTGGCTCCTCTGACTGATGAAGTCCTTTGGATGAAGGATGAAACGTCTCAAAAAAAAAAAAAAAGAAACCGTCAAGATGACCTGACTGAACTTGGTTGATTGGAGGCTAGTTAGCATCTCATAGTCAAAGGAAAATATACACATTTTCAGTTGAGGTCTTACTGAAATCTGTGTTTGCTACCAATCTGAGTATGACCTAATTATTAGGGGCAAATTATTATTTTATTTATTTATTTAATAAAAGCTTATTTTAGTGTGCCCAGCTTGCAAAACTATATTCTAGGAGTTCACAATATTTCATGCTTGCCTCCTCCCACAATTGTCTCCCTCGCCCTGCTTTGTATCCCTCTCGGCAGCCACCTCCGTGTTTATATTTTAATGCACTGGATGACATTTACAAAAAACGGTGGGCAGGTTTGGACCAGTTGTTTAATTATTATTTATCATCTACGAGGCTTTGAGACATGGAAATTCAGAGCTGCAGCTGTGGATGTTTTCTGTTATGTGAAGAGCTCCAGTACTGGTGTCAACATACAGCTCTGGTACTGTAGAGTTTGCAGAAACTGAATTGAGAGAGGTTCGAGACTTGTTTGAGACCCTCATAACATCTCTTGACTATTTTTGGAGAAAAATGGACGCATTTTTTCTTTAACATGTTTAAAACTCTAATGACAAAGTCTACCAGCCTCTGTATCATATGGAAGGAAATTGAGAACCACCGCAAACGTTTCGAGACGCTTTGGAGACTATGCTGTTTTCCAATTAGTCTCCCAACAGTTGCACCCCAGTGAGATACTGGCTTTAGTTTCTTAGATGTTGCAGTACACATTAGGAAGTTCTATATTCCTAAGTATTCTTAAAGTCAACTTACAAACACAAAACTAACTCCGCTATAATAACCGCAACAAGCTACATCATCCCTGGTGAGGCTCCAAAGAGAAATATCCTCACAAGCTGCTGCTGTTTCAACAAGCTCCGACTGTGGTAAAGTATAACAGTCTGCAGTGTCAGTACGCCAACTCAACCAACATGCTCAGTTACTGGATCACATTTTTTATTTCCAGAAGTTGCCTGTTGTCACTCCTGTAGCTTGAAGCTGAGAACTTGTTAGTAATTCTGTGTTTGGTAGAAGTGTTAAAGGGAAAACACACATTTTAAATCATTTAAAGTGAGTAATTTTTGTTTCTGATGACTCTAAACTCCTCATTTTTGCCAATATATATTTTGTGATGGTTTATATTCCACGCAGGATGATTCTGTCCCAAATGGACTCCGAGCGCTGCCTCTCTTCTACGCGTCCACCATCGGGATCAACACCTTCTCCATCATGTACACTGGAGCTCCATGTAAGTGGCCCTTCATACAGAAAGTCAGTGTTCCTTCAGTCTGACGCGTACCTGAGGAGGGAAAATGATCGTAGCCATATGAGAGACCATGTTTGTGGTTTGTTTGTGATCGTCTTTCCTTTAACTATGTGTGTTTTATGAATTACAGTGCTGGGGTTGGAGATGCTGCCAGTTTGGGCCGTCTTTCTCATCACGTTAGCGGGGGCGCTAGTCTGTGCAGCTTTGGTCTGGATATTTGTTTGTCCTTGGATGAAAAGAAAAATAGCAAGTAGGTATTTATGTTCAGCCAATCTCAACAGGCTCACCTGCTGCTGATGAACTGCTTGTTCTGACAGCGGACCACAGAAAAGGTTACAGAAAACTAAAATGACAGAAAGAAAGAGGCTGTCTGAGATATCCGAGGACTTTATTTGCCTTTGTGTCAAACAAAAACAATACACTCATTTAAATATGAAACTGCTGGATTTAGAGACATGAAATAGTGCCCATATTTTGGTTTGAAATGAAACATCTTTTCGATTTAACTCAGCACTGGCTCAAGGCCGACTTGACCTGATGCTTAGAATGTCATGGCTCCTGAATGCCCCTGAGGATTATGGATGATGGTATCAACTTAATCTGGATATTTCTGCGTCTGCAGAATAAAAACATGAGGGCTGTAAATGTTTGTGTACCTGAGGAGTGAAACGTCATCTGAATATTGATGCTGGGATTAATTTGGGGCAGCTGATGGATGTATGTTTATGGGCTTTTTCTAAGGGATTATTATTATTATATTATTATTATCATTGGTGTTTTTCTTGAACACCCTCTCTTACATTTACATTTAATGGTTTTTTTTTTGTTTCATACTTTTAAGTGCCATAAAATCAGCTGTGTGACATATTTTCTTATAACTAGTATTGAAAGCTTCTGATAAAACTGAATAGTTGGCACATTTTTCTGACTCCTAATGGATTTCCTTCAGGTCGTTTAAAGAAGGAGCAGGCGCTCTCCAGGATATCTGTTGAGAGTCTGGACAAGATCCCTGAAGAAGAGGAGGAGAGCCCCGTCTTTAAGGAGCTTCCTGGGGCGAAGAGCACTGACGAGGCTGTGGTGCCGCTCACAGGAAGCAGCAGCGATCGTAGCGCACGCGACCCCAGTGGGGAGCTCACCAACATGGTCAATGGAGGCAGTGTCCTGCCCAATGGCAGGGTGTATGGTAAAACCGTATTCTTCACAAAAGAAAGAACAGAAAGCATAGACTGTGTTTGCTCGTTGCTCATTTCAATCTTTAACCTTCTAGGTCGAACTCACTCGATGACCAACGGTTCCCTGAAGTCACCAATTGCTAATGGCAGCTTCACCTTCGATGGCCACGTGCACAGTGATGGCCAGGTGTACCACACGGTGCACAAAGACTCTGGTCTGTACAAAGACCTGCTTCACAAGATCCACCTGGGCCGCATGGATGATAACGAGCGTCCAGGGTCCAGCGCTCCTCATCCCGACAACAACTACAGACTGCTGCGCCGCAACAACAGCTACACCTGCTACACGGCGGCCATCTGTGGCATGCCCGTCCAGCCGCTTAGACGCTCCGAGTCACGCGACGACAGTGAGAAGCTCGTGGGTGAGGGGGGCGGCAGGAGCAACAGCGTGTCCTACTCCAAGAAGCGGATACGCTACGATAGCTACTCGTCGTACTGTAACGCTGTCGCCGAGGCAGAGATCGAAGCGGAGGAGGGAGGGGTGGAGCTGAAGATGGCTTCAGAGCTGGAGGGCGTGGAGGAGGAAGGGGGTCCGGCACCTGTGCCTCTGGAGGACTTGGAGGATCGCGAGGAGAAGGACAAGTCGGAGGTGTTTCTGCTCTTCCACTTCCTGCAGATCCTCACTGCCTGCTTCGGTTCTTTCGCTCATGGAGGCAACGATGTCAGGTGACGGATTTTAATCTGCTCCTTTGATGTTTTGTAATCTAATCGGCAGAAGATGCCTGAATCAGTGAATTATTTCAACGCTTGTCTCTGTCATGTTTGCAGTAACGCCATCGGGCCACTGGTGGCGCTGTGGATGATTTACGAGCAGGGAGGTGTGATGCAGGATGCTGCCACGCCTGTCTGGCTGCTGTTTTATGGCGGTGTGGGCATCTGTGCCGGCCTGTGGGTGTGGGGCCGACGCGTCATCCAGACATTGGGAAAGGACCTGACTCCCATCACCCCCTCAAGGTGAGAAAGTCTCCTCACAGGAGTGAGTGTAAAGGTGTGTGTGTATGTGGGTGCGCTGGTGGCTGAGGTGAACTATACAAAGTGGTTGGTTTCCCTCACGAGCCTCAACATGCTGACACAAGTTCTTCACGAGCTTCTTGGTGAGTACCTCCATGCTTTATCTGAAAGGCCACACACACACGAGGTCTTTAACTTGCTACAATAACTGAAGAGTTGATTCTTTTAGTCACAACGGGCAGAATGGAACCTCGAGCAACAATCAGATTCATTGTCCTGCTCCGTTTCCTCATTAACTCCCCGTATCCAGGTACAGAAGAGCTCTGTGACCCGTGGAGAACCGTTTTTACTTAGCACGCTCTAATTCCACTCTGTCCACAAAACGGATGAAGTTCATTCATTCAACTTGAGAATCTGCAGAGTGTAACATCCAGCTTGTTTCATTTCAGTTATATTTGCATGTGTATTATCATATGAGGACCTAAAAACGAGTTGAATTAACAAGATTTGTACATGTATTCAAGTTCATTTCTATTAGCACATTTATTGTGGCAAGTGCTCGTTGCACTGAAAATGTAAAGTAAATGTATAAACGGATAAAACATAAACGGATTGAAAAGTAGAAAAAAATGCATGATTGGTGAGAGCTAAATGACTGAAATTTGCTGAAACTGAGTTGATGAAGCGAAAAGAAGCAGAACATTAGCTGAAAGCCAGAAAGGAGCAAGATGTTGGTTAAAATTAACAACATGCTAGATAAATGTTAAAAGTAGCAAAACGTTAGCGGGAAGTAATTGACACTAGCTGAAGTGGCAAAATGATAGCTTGGAAAAATAAAAAAAGAAACAGGAAAATAGTGACAAAGCTGGTGCACCATTCTCACAAAAGTCAGAAAATAAAAGGAATACATTATATCCACTAAACTGACACCTTAAAACATCCAATTCAGTTCAGTTTATTTACATAGCACCAAGTCACAACAGAAGTCATCTCAGGGCACTGAACAGAAACATTCATATATAAAAATAATAATTTAACACTATTTATCTGAGGAGCAGACTGCTTTGAATTTAACCCCATCACAGAACTCTCATCTTGAGCAAGCATGAAGGCGACAGTGGAAAGGAAAAACTCCCTCATGAGGAAGAAACCGTTAGCAGAACCAGGCTCAGGACAAGCGGTCATCTGCTTTGACTGGCTGGGTCTGAGAGGAACAGATACACAATGGCAGGTCAAGAATCGCATGTTAAGATAGAAATAATATAAAATTAAAATTATTAATTTTAACAATTCATTTAAGGAAATGAGGTCAATTTGTCCTCTAGTAATCTAAATCTATAGCAGCATAACAAGCCAACCCTAATTATAGGATTTATCACAAAGGAGAGTCTTAAGCCCAGTCTTAAAACTGGACAATGTGTCAGCCTCACGGACAGAAACTGGAAGTTGGTTCCACAAGAGAGGAGCCTGATAACTGAAAGATTTTCCTCCCATTCTGCTTTTGGAAACTCTAGGAACCACAAGTAAACTTGCAGTCTGAGAGCAAAGTGCTCTGTTGGGAAAAAATGGAACAATAAGATCTGTAATATAATATGGATCTAGGTTGTTGAGAGCTTTGTAGGTTAGAAGTAAGATTTAACTGAAATCAGAGGAGATTTTTAATCTGGTTTTAAAAGTGATTTTACTCATTTAAAATCCTGGCATTTTATTTCCCAGAGAGGTGGATCATAATCACCATTAGCCCAGCTAGATTTAAATAAATAAATTTAAGCACGTTTTATCTAAGTTCATCAGGTACACACTAATTACTGTTTTGTTAATGTGAACATCCTGACACGACATTCATCGTATGTTCAGAATCCCACAGCAGTAAAACGAGAATGGTATGTCCTGGCTGTCTTTTTTTTGTGTCCTATTACATAACACATGAATAATTAATGAGTGTTTTAGTCCTCAGCAGATAAACCCCACAGCTCACTTTGTCCAACAACAGAACAGCAGTCTTTCCACGTCTCGAACCGCCCTCTTCGCTTCCTTTAGTCTGATGTTTTTCCATCTGTCCTCCCGCACATTAGTGAAAGAATGCACCCACGTGAACCTCAGGGATGTCTGTGAGATTGGAAAGCTGAGCCCTGAACCCGCAGGTCGCTCTGTGCTGAATGCACCGTAGGAGTGTGTATGCGTGCGTTAAGGGTCGGTTGTGTGTGTGTTGTTGCCTGGCGGGAACGTCACACAGAGTTACAGGAAGTTGTTTGGCATTCCGGATGAAGAGAGATGAAGCAGGATGGCTGAGGGAGTGGAGGAACCACAGTGGGAACTCTAGCTCTAACCACAGGGAGGGACGGCAGCCTGACTCCTTTCCTTAATCTTTTTTCCTCGTCTCACGTCTTACTTTTTTTTGGGTAAATATCTAATTTTGTAGTTAACCCTCCTCATCTCCTTGTCCTCGCTTTTTTTCTGTCCTTTTCATTCTTGTCCTCTCATCGCATTTTGTTTATTTGGCTCGCCTCTAAATCTCAGTTTTTAAAAGTCAGTTCTTCCCACGCTCACGCCATCTAATTATTTCCCCCTCTTTCTTTTTGTCTTTACCTTTTGATTTGCCCCTCTCTCCCTCTGTGCCCCCTTTTCTTTCTTAATCTCTTTCCTGCCATCTCACACTGACGCTCCTGCCAGGATCCAAAGACAAATTTGCTCTGGTTCACAGTTTAAAGCCTCCCTTTTCTCCGGAGTTTCCATGCGTCAGTCTGACAAAGAGATTTGTTCGGGACAAGGACACAAGAGTGCGTGGTTGTTTGGTTTTGTGTGCGCTACCTTACATGCCCTGGCATATATTTGAACTGCTGCAGTGTTCCACTAAGAAATGTAATTTATCACAGCAGTTACTCGGTTTTTAAACATAAAATGTGGATTTTCATCAGTCTCATGTTGTGTGACCTCAGATCAAGGTTGAGAGCTTCAGATCTTTTTCCAAGATATTCCAGGGAGCGGAGTAGGAGAAGGCCCATTTGCCTAGTTCAGTCCTCACTAAGGGAACAGTGCAGGTAATAATGTCCTGAGAGCGCACGCTGTAGCTGCACTCATGTAGAGACATGTAGGAGGAAATGTATGAAGGCAGCAGACCAAGAAGTGATTTAAAGATGAAAATGTACCAGTGGGAGAGTCTGCGTGAAGTTGTCCAGTTAACCAGTGAATACAGGGTGCAATGGTGGTTACAGTAGTTTCAGCCAGTTATGAATCTTAGCACACCATGATAGACAGCATCCAACATCTGCAGGGTGCTTGAAGGGGCATTCATATAATTGATGTTACCGTAGTCAATGGAGGGAAGGAAAGTCACAGTTACAAGGTGTTTCCTAGCATTCAGAGTTAGACAGGATCTGTTTCTGAAAAAGAAACCCAGTTTAACTTTCAGTTTCTTTACTAAGTTTTCCACATGGAGCTTAAACGAGAGACGCAAATCGACCGATGCCCAAATATTTGTAGGAATCGACAAACTCAATAGGGACACCCTTCGAGGATAAAAGCAAAGAAAAAACTGCTGGGGCTGACTTCCTGTTTGAAAAAAAGCATCCCTTTGGTTTTGTCGGCATTTAGGACAAGTTTGAGACAGAATAAATCTGACTGGATGATGTCAAAAGCAGATTGCAAAAGCTGGAAAACCTTAGCAACTGTTTTAGCGTGACAATAAACAACTGTGTCATCAGCATAGAAATGTATGGATGCATCAGGGATGCTCTGACCTACATTACCTATGTAGATTGTAAAGAGGGTGAGTCCTAAGACAGCCTTGCGGTACACCATTACTGACTGTTAAATAACTGGATTAACTAATTGGAATAACTAATTTTGGTCATTCTAGAGCTTTAGAGTTGTATTTTGACACATGTAGAAGAGCTCCATCAAGGCTACAGTCCTGAATGTTCGAGTCTAAAAGCCATGCCAGTGATAAAAACAATATTTTATATTAAACACACTAAAAACAGTCCAAGTCTCTGTATTATTTTTATAAATTTACGTCAGCAGATTCAGTCATAAATGTGGGGACGGCTGCCAAGATAGGTACAAAGCCAGCTGAGGCAGGTATGATGTGTGCACGAAACAATGTGTGCAGCCTAGAAAACACTTTTGCAAACCATGCAATCAAAAATACGTTGGGATTTTTTTTTTTGATGGTTGCTCAGAATATATCGTTAGTCACAGAGTTCAATAGGACTGCAACAGACCGTGTCGTTTTATCTGCAACTTTTCTCAGTAATCAAAAGAAACAACTCTTTAGCTAAATGTTGCTCATGTTGGAGCCACCAACACTGTATTTTTCACCATCTCAAACAGTTCAGATCTAAATTAACATGGGTTCAAGAAACTAATGTAGTCATTTTTTTGGTTATACATTTTTTTATTTTGTCACCACTTTCACAGCCAAACATCCGTGTCCCTGGAAGTCACATCAGTGGTTGTTTATCATGTGAAAATACCGATAGACAACCCTTCTTAAAACATAAACAACAAAAATGTTGTTTTGGTAATTAGAAGTATTGATTGTAGTGCCATAATCTTTCTAGCAATTTAGTTAGGTGCCGTAAGTGCAGAGACGGGCTCTAATTCAGTATTTTCTTTAACTGTATTTATACAGGAAATGAGAAAATGTCCAAGTAAAACTAATCCACTAAACCAGCGGTTCCCAACCATGGTCCTTGAGGAACACCACCCTGCATGTTTTAATCGTTTCCCTGCTCCAACCCATCTGATTCAGTGATTTTATTATTTCCTGATGTTCTGCCAAAGCCTGTTAATCACCCATTCATTCAAATCAGGTGTGTCAAAGCAGGGAAACGACTAAAACATGCAGGATGGCGTTCCTCATGGACCATGGTTGGGAACCATTGCACTAGACCACCATGACGTTTTCTGCCAAATTAAGCCCCGTCGATTTGCAGAAGAACTGGATTTGTTTTTAAGACTGTCTGATGGGAAGTGATCAGAGCCCTGCTTGGAGCCACTGCTCAGAAACAGGAAGTACGTTTTAACTGTTCATGATTCATCATTGTCTCAACACAGCTCCACCTCGTTGCTGCTTCTCTTCGAGAAGTACCAAACATGGATCCAGTTCTAGGCACTTTTCTTCTCTCAGAGTTGTTCTTTATGTTTTTGATGTAATGCTGTGCTTTTTTTAATCCCATAAAAGTGGCTTTTTTTTGGTGTGTTTTATGTGTTTGTGTGTGCGCATGCTTATTAATGATTTTCTCTTCCAGCGAATCCACTGGTCTGAAGTCAAAGCGCTCTGAAAACAGGGTATGAATATGGAGAAAATGTCCTGTAAGCAAAAAGCGATACAGAAACACTTGAAACGATCTACGAACCTCTAGGACCTCACAGGAAGTCTGTCAGTAGTTTGTGTAGTTCTCTACAACTTAAGTCTTAAATGTTACTTTGTGTGACGGGTGAATGCCCTGCTCTGGTTAGCTCTGGCGAGGCTGTGCCGTCATTACCAGCGTCCCAGACAACACAATGAAGACTGTCTCTTTGCCCCCTCCTCTCCCCCATCCCTCCCTCCTTCCACAGTGGATTCACTATTGAACTGGCTTCTGCACTCACAGTCGTGTTGGCTTCCAATATCGGAATCCCTGTCAGTACCACACACTGCAAGGTATGACCGAGTGGCCCCTCCGGCTGCTGACCTCCTAACCACCCCCCTCCCTCTAGGTTCCACCAGGGGAAAGGGAGCTCACACCTCCTCCCAGGGCATAAATCCAACGTTCGTTTTTGAAGACGATTAAGGTGTCTGCCTGTTGAAACAGTCGGAAACACCTCATTAAATGACACAAAACTCTTAATACCAACTATTTGTAAAAATGATGTCAGTTCATGCTTTTCTTGTGTTTCCTGCGACAGGCTGCTCACTCGGGTTAACACTCCAACAGTCAGCCTCTGCCTGTCACACGAACTAGATTTTTCTTCTACATGTCTGCATCTGACAATCCTATCGTGTTGTGAGTCAAAAATCTTTGACATGTCCAGCCCGTGGGCCACAGTGTGCAGCCCCTCTCCCCTGCTCTTTTCAGGAACATCAAGCTGGAAGAAAAAGCGGGCCCCTCCCTGACCCCCCGCTCCACCCACAGTGTTTCATACTCTTGTTTCATTTCCACCAACTCTTGTTAATTTTGACCTTCTCTCAGCACTGGCATGGTTTGGTGTGTGGGTCCCTCCACCCTCCTGTGCTTGGCTGCAAGCAGACTCCTGCCCTCCTCCCCCTGCAACCAAAGCCACCATTTGCCCCCCCAGCCCCCCCCCCCCTCCAGAACCCACCTGCCACACTTGTTTTCCACTATTTTTACCTCTCCCTCTCCATCTTTCTGTTTCTCCACCCATCTGTCTTTACAGCGGATTTTGCATTGAAGTAATGAGTGCGCTTACTGTGCTTGTTGCATCAAATGTGGGCATCCCAATAAGCTCCACCCACTGCAAGGTACTGCAGTCACTGGTAGTGAAGTCATGCCCCCCCTCCCCCCACAACCCATCAGAGCTTTTCTTGATCGCTTCACCTCTAGCTGTCAATCACAGAAACCAATCGCAGCTCTTGGAAGTTGAAGTTTTGACTTTTTTGCAGTTTTCCTTCAGCAGCAAACATTTACAAACTCCTTCACGAATAAATCTTTCAGGCAGTTTGAAATTTGTTATAAAGATTATTTTTCACAAATGTTTAACGATTAGATTGTAATTAAATCAGTGGTTTTGAAAAGTAAAGTTAGGTTGTATTTTTTACTGTTTAATGACTAGTTGAACATTTTCATTACATATTGAATATATCGCATTTTATTTTTGTTTTCAACCCAGAGCTTGTATTCCTGTAATACAGTAGTCC